GAAAAGTCTCCTGCACACCTGTGGAAAGAAAGAGGCAACAGCATCTCAGTTTTATTATGAAAATAGTTTTGATCTCATGGACCCCCCAAAAGGGCCTTGGCTGTACTGGTAAACTGGGTCTCAAAAAAGAAAAAAGAAAGAAAAAAACAAAGCCCGGAACAGGACTGGTTTGTAAAAGTGTCACTTTCCCTGGTGTGCCAATTTCAAGCTACCAACTTGACTCCACTAGTGCTGGAGTTGGGGAGAGACGTGCAGTCTGTGCAGGCAGCGCACTGCATTCATGTCACACTTTGAGGACCTCTGGCAGAGTGTCTGCGGAAGGACTCAGGAAAACCAGAAAACCGACGAGGTTGCCTCCTAGAGTGTAACCCAGTGACTGGAGGACAGTGGGCTTTTAAACCAAATATCCTTTTATACCTTTGGAATTGTCAGGTGCATGCCCATCTAGTCAAAAGAAAAGGAGGCTTTAAGAATCTTCCCTTCTTAGAATGAACTCTCTAAGTTGATCCATAATTTGTCAGTCTTCAGCTTTTCCACTTCTTTGTGGCATCTCTTAGAACTGGTTCTTTCAAAGCGCCGGTGACTGGTTCTCACTGCTCTGCCGGCCCCTCGTCTTGCTTCGCCCTTGCTTCCCGCTGTGGGCCAGGCGCACTGAAATGCAGGAGGCAGATCCAGCCACTGCTGCAGCAGGAGTCTCCGAGGTGGCCCTGCCAGGTCCTGCATTTATGTAGCCAATTTAAGCAACTTATCCTTGTAATTTGATGTTTGAGTGTCTAAAGCATCTTAAACATTTGGGATTACCCTTGCTTTTGCACTTTTGGTAAAAACTGAAGGTTTTCTGATAGCTGCTTCCCACCCCACCCCACCCATGTGCCCTGCATGGAAAATTGAACACTGTCATCTCGCCCTGTGAAGAAAGATAGAGACTATTAGGTATTATAATAAAATGATATATGCTCTTACAAGCTCTGCGATATTTAAAACCTTTCTTTACCGCTGACAGTCACTTTGCCTGAGGCTTTGTAAGCTATTTGGGTTCAAAACAAAAAGCATTTTCACTTATTGGATTAACCACTGGAGATTGGTCTGTTTGAGAGTTACCCTCCCATAGGTCACCCGTGTCTTAGAAGCTGAGTGTTTTAACTAGAGGCAGTGGCAAGCTACATGTGTCTCCTTGACACGCGTCCCTTTCACTCGTTTAAATCTTCCCTTGGGATTGGTCAGGGACATGGAACAGGCACCCCTTGGGGAAAAGCTGATTTTCAGGAACATGTGGATGCATAGTTAGACTGTCTCACAATTCGAGATTCGTGGTGAGAGGAATAAGAGGGTTTTGAGAAGGAGAGAATGTTAAAATGAGAGATTCTACGAAGTCTTGCAGGCAAAGGAGATTGTAATCCTAGCAGCCCAGCGGGCGGGTGCTGCAGAGTTGGTAGCTCCTACATAACCTATAGTTGTGTAAGCAAAAGGAATTTCTGCGGCATGCTTGGCATCCGGGTGTTTAGTGTCCGCCCAGGATGAACAACCTTGTGACCTTCATCTGGGCAGATGACCAGGAAACGGAGGTAGCAACGTGTGATACCCATCCCCTTTCTACCCAGCTGGGGCAGTGTTGATGTGCTGGGTCTATATAACTCGGGATGCCGGCAAGTGACCCACACACATCCCCTCCCTCTTGTAGAAACTTCTGTACTGTGAAGTGGACTCTATATAAGCACAGAGCAGCCTCATTTTCCTGCTAGTGACACGGAGATGAAAGGAGATTTCCAGCTGCTAGTGGTCAGAGAGATCCAAGGCTGGAAACCGGCCTCTGTGTTCATGAGAAGAACCTTAACAGAAGAATGAGGATTCTGTTATTCCCTCTCCTGGTGGCTGACGGGAGATACACACAGATTTGGTCTGAATCCTAGTTCTGCCACCAAACAGCTGTGTTATACTGGTCAGGCACCTGTCCTCTGTTCCCTTCCTCCCCCTTCCAAGAGTCAAACATCTTATTTCTGTAATCAACATGATATGAACATTTTCCAGCTTCACTGAGGTATAACTGACCAATCAAAATTGTAACTATTTAAGGTGCGCGACGCCCGCAGTGTTTTTATTCAGTTGGGATTGAAGTGGCTCAGGGTGAGATCAAGGCGCACACGAAGTGGGCAGGCGGTGCCGGGCCCCAAGTGCGCGGGCCGTGGGTGTTAACGGGGACCCTCACCTCGCTCCGCCCCACACGAGCCGCAGGCACTTGGCTTTCCAGGCCTTGCAAACGGGAAACGCGCCGGCTTCCCAAGGAGCGTGGCTTGTTCGCCAGCTAGGAGGGAAGGGGCGCACCACACTGAGTTCTGGGTTCCTTCTATGCCGATCTAGCATCTGTCGCTGGTCTATAAATGGACACGGAAATGTTTTCCAAGGCAGGCGCACTCTGGCCGCCCGTTCCGTGAGGCTGCCCAGCCCCCTCGGGCTCTCCTCCCACCCGCAGGTGGCTCGGGCGTGCGCCCTTCGCTCATCGTTTTATGACGCGAGAATCGGGGCGAGCTCCGAATTCAGGTGCTAAGTTGCCTGCACTAGGGTCACTTGGTGGTGGTTCGGCGAAAACGCTTCGGCGCACCGAGTCGCCTTCCCGCGCAGCACTCTCGGAAATGGCATGTTAGACAAGCGGACCCTCCTTGCTCAGTGCCCGTGGTTCTGTGCTGGGTTTTCTCATTGACTCCTGTTTCTTTTCCTCTAGGATTCGCTCGTCGTTTTCATGCTTTCCACTTAAGCCAGAGGCTTTGTGGCTTTTCGCCGTGACCCTTTTTTCCCCCCAAATTAACCACGTGCCGTCTCCTCCCTTTCCCACCTTTTCTCTTTGGAATGTAATTTGTCCAGTACACCATACCCTCTCCAGCAACCCTGTACTCATTCCTCCTCAGCTATTCTGCAGCCTCTCACTTGAGGAGACGGCTTATGTGACGGGGCGGCCGGGCCTCCAGGGGCAGATGGCAGCTCACCTGCGTCTTCTTGAGAAGCCCCCTGTCTGGGCTGCGAATCAGCCCTGAGTTTCTGCCCAGCGTTCGCCAACCTTGCTGTCTGAAAAGAGTACTCGTGCACACCTAACCTGCCTGGGACTCCCTCCCCTCAGAGACACCCAAACGTGAGATTTCTTTCCTTGAAATACAATGGAAATTGTCTTTGCTGAAATTCACCTCTGGTAAAATAGTTCTTGGCCCCTTGAAGTTGACTTACTGTTTATTTTCACTCAGTCTCACCTGCATGTTATGTTTTTCAGACAGGAGATAGTTTAGTAAGTAGGAATTAATTTCAGTTTCAAATAAATCTTAAAATTTCTTATTCATTCCTTTGAAAATTAGTAATACAGGGATGAAAACAACTGTGCCTGTCATGAAGTAACTGACAACTGAGAATAGTGCCATACGTTGTAGCACTATGTGAGTGTTGCTGTATTAATGAGTTGTTTTTTTCCATACGTCGTAGCATTATATTAGTGTTGCTGTGTTAGTTTTTTTTTAACATCTTTATTGGAGTATAATTGCTTTACAGTGGTGTGTCAGTTTCTGCTCTATAACAAAGTGAATCAGTTATACATACACATATGTCCCCATATCCCCTCCCTCGTGCGTCTCCCTCCCTCCTGTTAGTGAGTTTTGAAGTTATGATCCTGTGCACAGGTCACCTAGACATAGTCTTGCCCTCTCCCCATCCATCCGTCTAAAACGGGACCACACACCATTCCACAGCTGCTCCGTGAATGGTTTACTGAACTTTGTGGATGGCATCCCTCCTCCTTATAGAGATTCCATAAAGATATCCCAGAGCCTGCCCCCTCTGACCCGTAACCGGAATGGGCACTCAGGGTTTGCGGGCAAGCCTCGCCAGCGGTGGGAACCACAGCTCCTCAATGCCAACGCTAGAGGCTGTCATGTGTGTTCTTCTGCCATGTTACTGCCTCATTTATACTTTATCCTAGTTACGGACATGCTGTTATGTAATCTGGGGAATCTCCAGGACGTAGTGGTGCTTTTAACCATGGTGTCCACTGAATTTCGGCTGGGGCAGCGAGAGTCAGGGGCTGGCTCTGCCCCAGACCCTGCAGCCCATACAGGGTGGGTGCCGCCACTGCCTCCTGCCACGTTCCCTCATCAATAAAAAGAGTGGTTTGGACCAGATCGCGTGGCTAAGAAGCTTTAAGAACCCACAGTGCCTCTTTCTCTTCATTGCTTCTGAAGGAAGGGCAAGACAGCACCATCCAATAAAAATATAATGCAAAAGCCACATATGTAATTTTAAATTCTCTAGCAGCCACATTAAAAAAAGGTGAAATTAATTTTAATATTTTATTTTGCCCTATAGATCTGAAATATTATCATTTTAACATGTAATCAATATATTATTAATGAGATATTTCACATTCTTTTTTCTATGCTGAGTCTTTGAAATCCAGCATGTATCTTAAACTTACAGCATGTCTCCATTGGCACTGGCCACATTCCAAGTGCTCAGGAGCCATGTGTGACTAGTGGCTACCGTCATGGACAGCACAGGTCTTTTTGGACCACCTAAGACCTTAGCTCGGGTTCACCGGGTCCACAGGGTCCACAGGGTCCACAGCCTCCTGTGGACCTTTGTCAGCCTTTTCATTTTGTGGCTAGAATGTTTAAGGCAGGGACTAACAGATCATCCAAACTGAGGTCTTTTGTAAGACTTGATTTTCGCAAATATGTTCCTTTCGTTCTGTAAGTGGTTCTCAGTTGATGCTTTAAGATGCATTCTGCCCACGTAAAGTCTTGGAGGAGCCCTCCCAGCAGGCATACAGGAGGCCTGGCTCTTTCTGAGCAACTGCAAACAAGAGGAAGTTTTCCTTGATGTTGCAGAGTCGCATCGGCTTAACCTTCTATTACCGGGAGCCAGGGTTGGGAGGGTAAGGGAATTTCTTATGGGGGGGTAAAATTTTACAAAACGAACAATAAATCAAGACTTTGTCTTTGTCTTTTCATTTAGTGGAATAGAAGATGAATGCAACTGAATTCAGTGAAGATGTAGAAGGTAAAAAAAGAAAAGCCTCTTTTTAAAAAATATTTTAACTGAATACTTTTTTTAGATACGTTTACGTGGTTCAAAAATATTAAAAGATACAGGATGAAAAATCAAGAGAAGAGTCTCCTCTCACGCCTGACTCCTGTCCTCCTCCACTCACACTCGTGGTGTTTTATGTATCTTTCCAGAGTCACTTTTAAAAGCATCATTTAAAAGAGTAGTTTCTCTCCTTCCATCTCCTCTCCCTCCCCTGAGGAAAGACTTTAAAACCTGTTTTGAACAAAATGTGCTTGGAACATGGTGTCATTGTATAGCGCTAGTGTGGTGAGATACAGATTGCTTGATTGGAAAGCCAGTTTTATTGTGATCTGTTACTCAGATATTGTTATCTGAGTGATAGTATCAAAGGGCGGCCGCATACAACCTGCCGCTCAGGGGACCCTGCTAATCCCAGCGCCGCCAGGTGGTCTCCCCGCTGAGCCCTATTTCTTCTCTGCCACAGTTCTAAAAAATAACACTGTGAAAGTGGAGGCAGAGGCCGAAGATGCTGCCCTGGACTGCTCAGTGAATTCCAGGTCCTCCGAGAAGCACGCTCTGGACAGCGTCTTCACTGGCCTCCAGGACTCCAGCAAGAGAAAGCAGCCGGGCGGCGAGGGCCCGCCAGACTCCGTCCCAAGCGTGAAGAGGCGGCGGCTGATTCCCGAGGTGAGGGCTCACAGGGAAAGCAGGAACTTGTTGATAGCAAGAACTGTTAGTGAAAGCCTACCACATTTCACATAGCGCACACCTTACCTAGATTCCTGGAGAAGGTGAGGCTTAGCAGGTCTTTTCCTAAATCAGATCCATCTTTTGTATCTATTAGGGGAGCTTGTTCAGTGAATCTTTTTGTAAAGAGACCAATTATTTTATAACATGCCTGTGACCCCTAACCTACCTATTTTATGAATTTGCTTTCTTTTTTTTTTTTTTTTTTTTTTTTTTTTTTTGTGGGCCGCGTGCCTCC